GGAAAACATATTTCCACCAAAACCAAGAGAAAACAAAATCCTCAAAAAGCTAGAAAACTGGCGCGTGAAGGTGGCTGGTGGAAAACAAATTGCTGGCAAAAGTTTGGCTATCAAACAGCCATAAAGTTGGAAAATAGAATTTTTTTTCCAACTTTCCAAGAAAATTACGCACATCAAACACAGCCTAAGACTTTTCAAGCTTGAAATGTATATGATTTACACATCAATGCATGCCTTTTCATGTCAAGAAAGTTGATGGTCCATATATAGTTTACCTTCACCGTTTTCAATGGTGCTTGCATATTGATTGACATTCATCAAGACTATGTTGGTAAAGAAATTGATTGATTGATCTTATATTGAAAGAGATATACGCATTATTAAATTACGTACCACATAATACTTATATATGGTAGGTCGCGCGTGCGTTGAATATTCATTTCTACTAAACATCAAATCAATTCATCAACTTACAAAGTGTGATATGTTAGTTACATAGTAATAAAAGGTCTTAAATTTATAAAACGTTATTTTTTTAACTAATATATATGATCAAGTATGAAACTCATTCTTGTTGTTTAGCAAACAATTACTTTTTAGTCGTAGAATCGAATTTTGTAACTTGATTCGAACCGGACTTTGTATCATATTGATATCTAAAGTCATACTATTGAACCAAAGGCAAATTAGGAAAGTAAACCCCTCAATATTTCTATTATCAAATCAAATGTATCACTCAATTAAAGAACGCGTAAAAGTCTTAGCTTAAAACTTTTCAATCAAACGGTCTGAACCGCATCCACTACTCGAAATAAACAACATATCACATCTTATTTATTGCATTGTCCAATCTCTTTTTCTTTTTCTTTTTTAAATGCATACCAAACATATTCTAATATAATTAAGCCATATATAACTAATATGTGCATTCGATTCGCACTAAGACTTTTCAAGCTTGAAATGTATATGATTTACACATCAATGCATGCCTTTTCATGTCAAGAAAGTTGATGGTCCATATATAGTTTACGTTCACCGTTTTCAATGGTGCTTGCATATTGATTGACATTCATCAAGACTATGTTGGTAAAGAAATTGATTGATTGGTCTTATATTGAAAGAGATATACGCATTATTAAATTACGTACCACATAATACTTATATATGGTAGGTCGCGTGCGTTGAATATTCATTTCTACTAAACATCAAATCAATTCATCAACTTACAAAGTGTGATATGTTAGTTACATAGTAATAAAAGGTCTTAAATTTATAAAACGTTATTTTTTTAACTAATAAATATGATCAAGTATGAAACTCATTCGATTAATATCCGCCATCATTAGTAAAAAAAAAATCACCTATTAAGAAAGTCGTTGAATAATGAATAAGAAGATTCGATGTCACGTATACCAAAGATTATCTCCATTAATAATGTATAGCATCGTTCGACTCATAAGCGTCAATTATAATAAGCATTTTCAAAAGTTCAAGGATAAGTCTTGATATATAGCGAAATTTCCATTAGATTGATTTCTTTGAAGCATATTAGTAAGTGTAAATTATAATTAAATGAGTGTCATATAAAGAAAAATGATCTTTTAATTACCATTTCTTAGCTTATCTTATATTAAACAAGAATGACATGACAATTCAATTAATTGGTGAATTATTTAATTACCGCTATATATTATTAACTTATTTATTAATTAATTGACTATTGTGTAGCTGTTGCTTAGAATAAGATAAATAACGATGCTTATGAGATCATTTCTATAATACTAATGAAGCTAAACGTCACGCATTTTTATGCATGCATATTCCCACAAGTACTTGGTCTTATCTTAGTAAGAGCTTCTTTGGGAGGAATTAAAATTCAATTAAAATTGAAAATATAACTGTTATTGGGTCTCACTCGTCTAATAAAAGTCAACAATGATGGCTAATTTTTCAATTTTAATCTGATTTTAATCTCTATCGAACACACTCTAAATGACCAAATAGCTTAAATTTAAGATACAATGAACTAACCATATTAAGTTAACCTAATTAACCTTATGTATAATATATACAAAGAGACGAAATAATTTGAACTATGTTCATCAAATCGAACTAATACATTGTACATTCATTTTAAATTACAAAATAAATTTTAAAAAAATTAACAAAAATAATTGCTTATTTAGTTCTACTTATAATCATAATTTTGATGGGTGAAGATAAAACCCATAAGAATATCCGTGAAGATAGGAGGGAATGGAGGATCATGATGCAATTTAAGATGGCCATGCCCACATGTCCATGCACCCTCTTCCCCTACACTCCTTTTTTTAGCCCAATTTTTTCGGTTAGAGTGCATTTTTAAATAGTAAGTTGATGAAAAATGTGTGGTTAAAAAATAAAGAAAAGTTTTGAATTTACGTTTAATATTATTTTATTGAAAAGTAAGAGAGTAATATATATTGAAAAAAAATGGAATCAAATATTGGAATCAATTTTCAAAATTGGGTCCCACAGCTTGACCCACATGGCCCTGGCCAATACCCATCTACCGACATGATCCGGACCCACACTCACATGGGCTGCTTTGCCTTATCCCCATTTATTCAACTCTATGGTTTGTCGGGTTTTTTTGTCATCTCTAGAAATTTCCATTAGATTGATTTCTTTGAAGCATATTAGTAAGTGTAAATTATAATTAAATCAGTGTCCTATAAAGAAAAATGATCTTTTAATTACCATTTCTTAGCTTATCTTATATTAAACAAGAATGATATGACACGTCAATTAATTGGTGAATTATTTAATTACCGCTATATATTATTAACTTATTTATTAATTAATTGAATATTGTGCCGCTGTTGCTTAGAATAAGATAAATAACGATGCTTATGAGATCATTTCTATAATACTAATGAAGCTAAACGTCACGCATTTTTATGCATGCATATTCCCACAAGTACTTGGTCTTATCTTAGTAAGAGCTTGTTTGAAAGGAATTAAAATTCAATTAAAATTGAAAATATAACAGTTATTGGGTCTCACTCGTCTAATAAAAGTCAACAATGATGGCTAATTTTTCAATTTTAATCCGATTTTAATCTCTATCAAATACACTCTAAATGACCAAATAGCTTAAAGTTAAGATACAATGAACTAACCATATTAAGTTAACCTAATTAACCTTATGTATAATATATACAAAGAGACGAAATAATTTGAACTAATACATTGTACATCCATTTTAAATTACAAAATAAATTTCAAAAAAATTAACAAAAATAATTGCTTATTTAGTTCTACTTATAATCATAATTTTGATGGGGGAAGATAAAACCCATAAGAATATCCGTGAAGATAGGAGGGAATGGAGGATCATGATGCAATTTAAGATGGCCATGCCCACATGTCCATGCACCCTCTTCCCATACACTCCTTTTTTTAGCCCAATTTTTTTAGGTTAAAGTGAATTTTTAAATAGTAAATTGATGGAAAATATATAGTTAAAAAATAAAGAAAAGTTTTGAATTTGCGTTTAATATTATTTTATTGAAAAGTAAGAGAGTAATATATATTGAAAAAAAATGGAATCAAATATAGGAATCAATTTTCAAAATTGGGTCCCACAGCTTGACCCACATGGCCCTGGCCAATACCCATCTACCGACATGATCCGGACCCACACTCACATGGGCTGCTTTGCCTTATCCCCATTTATTCAACTCTACTCCTTGTTTACCCTTATTAGGCATTGTAACTTTGTAAGTATTAGTATACAACTTTTCTTCTCTACTATTAGATTTATAAGTTTTGAAATCAATTTGGTATGGTATAGTGTAGTAAATTAATTTATCTTCAAATAAACAAATTATGTTACAACTAATTGAGTGGAAAATAAAATAATTTACACTATAGCATGTTTGGCCCAAATATTTTTTTCTTGAATGAGTATCAAATTTTCTCTAGTCTTTGATTAGGCCGGCTTCATTATTCCACGTTATAATGAGAGAAATAGTAATTTTTTAGAGAATGTGGGGTAAAAAAGGAATTTTTTTTTAGATTTACATGTAACGTTATTTTATTACAAAATATATGACTGATAAACAGATAGAAAAAAATAAATTTTAATTTAACGGGGCTAAACATGGGCTAAGCATCTATCTAAACAAAATGATTTGCCTAAATTTATAAACTATATACAAATTGAATCATCAGAAATGATTATCATCATTTTAAGTGACCGTGGATCTTCTGATTTATCATCAATGTATAAAGAGTAAAGTTATTTATAGTTAAAATTATCGATGGTCGACCTATGCAGTATACACATGACAACTTGTTATTTGATGCATTAATGTGGTAATTTTTTATTACTTCATATATCAAATAACAAACTTTCATGTACATATCACGTAACAAGACTATCGATAATCTTCACTTTGAATAAGTATAAATTGCATTTTAACTCAAACAAACGATGTGCGAGGGAGCCCACGTCCAACTAAACTGGTTATGATCATCAATATAAGATCAAACACTCCTAAAACCGACACGTAACCTCCTCCACCCTACCCAAAGATCAAAACACCACCGTTGATTATCAGACCACAGAATTGAATATCCGGCGGTTGTAATTGTCCCACCTTTGTCCCTCCTCAGACAACATTAGCCTTAAACATGTTACACATTTATACAACACATATATCTATTATAAAATTTCCTGTCCCACTATTAACACGCGCCTGTACTCACGTTCTTCTCACGTCCACACATTATCATTAATCATGAGCGCGTGTGATTAAAGCGTGTGGGACCGTTGATTTTGATGTTATGAAATTCATGCACACGGAGAATAAATCACCCAAATACTGTCTTCCTTTAATCTTCCTATAAAACTTCTCTCAATCAATCCCATTCTCCACAACTTGCAAATTCTCTACCTGAAAATACAAACGGAAAGATCACCGGAAAAAGTTTCAGAGATCGGAAACTGTTGAAAAATGGCGTACGAGAATGATATGAATCTGAAGGCAACTGAGTTGAGATTAGGGTTACCGGGAACAACCGATGAATCTCAGATTAAAGAGTCTTCTTTTTTAAAGAGTAATAACAAGAGATCTTCAGATGAGATGGATAATTCAGCTAATGAAGATGAATGTTCCCCTGCTCCAAAGTAAGTGTCTGTTTGAATAATTTTGTGTATATATATCTGTGCAAGTATAGATCTTTAAGGGTATGGATTTTGATGGTGATTTATGATTTCAGGGCACAAGTTGTAGGGTGGCCGCCGGTGAGATCTTACCGGAAAAATATTCTACAGCAACATAAGAAGAATTCCGATTCCGACGTGCTTGGGATGTATGTGAAAGTGAGTATGGATGGAGCTCCTTATTTAAGGAAGATTGATATTAAGGTTTACAAGAACTACCCAGATCTACTCATGGCTTTGGAGAACATGATCAAATACTCTATGGGAAAGAATCACGAGTTTTTTCTAACTATCTTATAGAACGTTTTGTACGCAGTTTTCAAATTCTCTATGGGTAAGAATCCCGAGTTTTTTCGAACTATCTTATAGAACGTTTTGTACGCAGTATCGATCAAGACTCGACTGGACGAGATTTTAACCTTTTTTTCCCTACATATTTCAGGTGTGTACTCAGAGAGAGAAGGGTACAATGGATCTGAATATGCACCAACTTATGAAGACAAAGATGGGGATTGGATGTTAGTGGGAGATGTTCCATGGGATATGTTTGTTACTTCTTGCAAAAGGCTTAGAATAATGAAAGGATCTGAAGTTAAAGGACTTGGATGCTTGTAAAAGCTTTAGCTATTAAACTTGAATACAAAATGTTCAGTTTGGGTTCTCCAAGAATCAATACAGATCGACTGTATACATGTTCATTGTATTGTCGAGTACTGTTACCATGCGAGGTTAGGGCACGAAATAGACCTAAATGAGAGAGATTCATGTTTTTTCTTTTTCGTCTTTTGGAAAATTTGTCATGTATTTATATGCGTAAACATGATACAATATACAATACAAGATTTCAAGAATACTTTGTGCAATTTATATGGTAAGGTTCGATAATATTTTTGAAAAGTTAAAATTTAGAAGACTGTTGACCAAGAAATATGAACAATCCAAGCACTCGTAATTATCTATGTTTTTTGATATATTGAATAGTGTTAAAGAAGGAAAATAAGTTGAAATCTTTATACGATGCTTGAAGTTGCAAAAAGAATGCAACATTGGAAAGAGTAGAAGTCATAAAAAGTAAAAAGTAAATCTCCATATAAATGAACTTTTAAGTTAAAATTTTGTATATTATATTATATTAATCTAAGGTTGTGTTGGTGCACCAAGACAATATTAGGTAGATTGTTTTAATTTTTTATTTAAAAGATAGTTATTTGCACTATCAACCGTATAATACAATACTAAAATTGGGATGGATTTAAACTAGATAAGAAAAGTATGATATATAATATTATTTTGAATGCAAAATCAAAGAATAAAAAACCTACGTTAATCCATCATAATATCCACTATAATTTTATACTAAATTATCTATACGATCTAATTCGATGCGTCAAACACAGTGTAACTATTTTAATTAACTGTTTTGATCAAGTTAAACCACAAACCATAAGAAAGGAAGGCCAAAAACTAACAGAGACCAAAAGTTTGTGGGCCTAGCCCAATTGTGATCTACATCCTCCACTATATTGAAAATCGCAATTTTTTTTAAAGATCTTAAAAAATCTTGTTTACGTTGTAGTCAAGGTCACCTTCGACAATCATTATTTCAAATAAAAAATTTCTACATATTCATTTTCAACTACACATTCATACAAAAAGATATTCTATACGTAAATCCAAAAAATTATTGGCAAACATGGGCTAAATCAAATCTAATTATCTGTTTGGCACAACTTATCCAAAATTCAATTTTCTTGAAACTCAATCTTAAGCTCTCATTCTCATAATAAAAAAATTCTACACATGAACCCCATAAAATTTCCTATTTTTAAAATCATTCTCTAAAAGGATAATTTTTCACTTCAAATAATCTCTGCCAAACAAATCTTTGAAAACTGGCACTTGTTATTTGTCCTAGTCTAATTGTTACCGAGTGTACCAGTCGATCCATGCAATATTTGTACTACAATGAACAAAATTTTAGTTTAGATAAGGAGCATTTTCATCCATGGTTTGCCTATGGACCATATAAGCTCTCTCCCTTTCACCATAATTTGATTTCAATGATGGTACAGGAGAATAGGGAAAGAAGTCAAATTACTTTTTGGCAACCAACCCACTCGACTCTGCCTATAGGACCCAGTAGTACAATTGATTTTCAGATGGAATATAAATCTAACTTTTTAGAACAAAATAAACAACCCATTTATCCTTTCTAACTATCCATTTCCACTTGCATTGAAAATACACTAAAAAATTACAATATATACGCATTCATCACCTTTTGAAGGGTCCCTAAACCCACTACCAAAATGAAAGCTCCATCTCCCGCTGCAAAAGTGCTTTCATCATTCCCCAGTAGACAAATGTGCCACTAATGATATAAAAAAGCACAGCATATCAAAGAGCAATTTCACATTTTCTTCTCTACTTGAATCTAGCGAGGACGAGAGGGTAGGTTTCCATTATTTTAAACATTGAGCATCAAACTTTCCCTTGAATAAAGCTGAAAAAAGGCGGAACCATGGAATCTGACTTAGATTTCAACTGAAAGGGAGTGAGGAAAACAAATCTAGTGAGAGTTGAATTGGGACTTTTGACTAGGGGAAGTTAGGAAAGGATGATGCTGACATATATGTGCCGTTTTGGAGGATTACGAATGGGGTTTGACCCGGGTTTCATGAGTGGGAGATGTCGGGAGGTTCGGTGTGGTAGATCACCGAGGCAAGAGAGATAGGCATAATGCAGAGTGCCTTGGATTGAAGAAACTGCATGGCAGCACCGACATTTTCTTCCATGAGCTTAGCGACCTGTCTTTCTGTGCCATCGTTTGACCACTTCTCCCAGGCTGGCTGGGCTCTTCCTTTTTCACCACCTTCCTCCTGCAAGAAGGCCAAAGATTATACGAGTATATTAAGAGCAACGTCTAAGGAAAAATCATGTTTTTTATTACCTCTACGGAAGTTATCGGGATTTCAGTCACAAGTGGTGCTACTGCGCCAGCTCCTCCTAATCTACTCATGCTCAACACCTGGAAGGTTGATCATTTAAATAAGTATAAAGGCAAACAAAGTCAATTTATCCGATAATTTTTAAAAGCAGACTTTAACTAAGAGAGGTGATACCATTACAGCGAAAAGAGGTCCTGTCTAATTCAGTGATTATGATTGCTAGCAAGATTTTTAAATATGGTTTTAGATAGTAATTTCAACCACATTGGTCAGCTTTTAGAAATTAATGTAAATGCGATGGATCCATCAACATTGTAGCCTCAAAGCAAAAAAATACGGGAGATTCCAGGTTCAAAGAGAAGGGATATTGGAATTTCGTTATCATTGGACAGGAAGCATCTACGTCATGATCAAGGATGGAATCTCAACAACTCTGGGAGCTAAAAAGCAAATAACAAAAGGTTTTTGGTGGTGACACCATTTAAAATATATTAGTGGGGAAAATTCTGGAACCGTATTATAGATTTTCCATATGCTCCACAACATGAAGATTAAGAAAAATGCAGCAAAGCTGTTTACTTTGCAAACTTCCCACCACATTCATGGTGCCAATATAAATGCAGTGAGTCCTTCACTCTTCATATTTGAATCATACGAAGGCTTTCACCAAGACAGAAAAATAAAATGCAGAAGGATTTTAAGTTTCTTAACCTTCACTTGGAGTCTCAGGAACTTCACATAATCCACAATTTCGTCAAGCATTGCTGCCCTATCAGTCTGCATAAAACATTTGGATTTGAATATGAACAAGAACCCTTCTTGAAGATTAGAGTATACAACTAAATTCTCACAATCCTAACCGCAACCTGTATGGTTGTGTACGTGCATACTAGATATGCATACTGAGACATGCTCACACACCCAGATAGACGCTCATTGTGTTTGGAAAAATCATAATGAACACACTGAAATCATTTAAATCAATATTTTATGTCATTAATAGGACTTTCATGTGATTGGATTTCAGGAATACAATCATGACAATCCACCATGATTCCCTTAATCTAAACGGATTTGATTGGCACCGTTTTTCTTAATAATAAAGACACAGAACATGGGAATCTTACGTGATATTTCATTAGGTCTGAAACCCCATGTGGTGTCTTAGGACAGTCCTCTCCTCAAATAAAGTGTACTTTAAGGTAAAATATACGTTAAGGATGTAGAAAAAATGGCATGTGAGGGACAAAACATGGAGTTAATGTCAAGAAAGGAATTATGTTCTTGATATGTGTCTTCTTTTCACTGCTAAGTATGTTACTTGTTTTCTTCATTAGGAAAGCAGAATTTTAGAATACAGAAAAATGTATTAGATGATGGTAGCAAAATAAACTGACCTCAGTTTCCAAAAAATCATAAAGAAAAGAAAAGAATAATAAGTGAATAATTGACCTTGTTGACACTGGGAACCAATTCTTGCAATGCTCTTATCCTTTCTGCAATTCTTTCTCTGCGCAACTGTAACAAGAGACCAAACAAAGAATAAAGTGATTGAGATTGCAATTGGTTCAATAAGAAAGATTTGCAGTCTCTTAACTAAAATTACATATTATCTATTTGGAAAAGAATTATCTTACACTCTGTCACTTCTAATGGCAAATAGCTATTACAGTTCAAACCTTTTTACTCAACTTGTATCGTTTTTAGCCCATTTTCCTGTTCCGACTATTCAAATATTTATTGGTGTCATCATCATCATTTTTGAATTTCTTTTCTTTTTCCTTTGTTCGGGTGTGGTTGGGGAATAAAACAACTGCTCAAAGATATCTTGCGGAAAAAGCCCAAGCTCCATTATTACTTTTCGGCAACAATAATTGCTTAGAGGAGGCTCTCTATTGTCCTCCTAGAACAGAGAACAGCTAGAATCTCAGCATCACATAAACAAAAAATACCAACCACATTATCATCATGCACACATTTATTCTAAACTAACATTTTGTATCACTTTATACTTTGTTTGATAGAGGCATATAAATTACCGAATGCAGACATTTAGAACATACGAAACCACCAAAGGGCACTAAACCTGGCACAGCTCTAATTGTGCAATATCTTACATAAATCTATGAAACAAGAATTCTGGAAGCAGTTTTCCAGGAAACAATTATGCGTACCCTCTCAGCTATGCTGTGTGGATCTGTAGCTTGTCCTCTTCTAGCCCGCACCCTTGGGCGAATTGCAGGTGAATGTGGCATTGAAGGAGCCATACTAGGCATGGGCTGCCCGCGGAAACCCTACAAGAGGAAGAATAAATTATTTATAAGGACAATGAGATCCAAAAGAAAAAAAGCAAGAACGAAATTCATTCCATTTCACATCTCGAAACATCTTTAAACCAAATGACAACTACAGCCACACCAAGACAAGTGTCTATCAATATCCCAATTCCCGAGAAAGAAGGGAAAATGCAAATTTGCTAATATATTTCATACAAGTAACATATTTAGAATTTATTCAACAAATTAAGATTATTTTTCGTGAATGACTCGGGTTAAGATTTATAATCCAAAACCATATTTGAGTAACAAATTTGATTGCTGAAATGAAATACTACGGAAGTGTTTATTTCAGTTTTATTTTCAGATTTATCCCAAATAAAGTTACACA